GTATATTCTGTTTTTTGCATTTTAGTGAAAGACAAACTGCATTGCAGTGAACCACAAACGGCATTGCAGTTTCTGTTTGGTTGTAGTTTATCTCTACTTGTCCTAATAATATTTTCATCCCTTCTTGTTGCAGATCACAAATGGCACAAGAAATGTCACCACAAAAGGAGGAAGCTCAAAACCAACCAAAGCGAAGAAGTAGAGATAAACTACAAGCAAACATGGATAAAATAGCACAAGGACAGCCCATTCCAAAAGTGTGGACAAGAAATTCATGAATAAATATCGAGCACAATTTGTCACAAAACTCCTACACCACAAACACTGTGTAATTAATCGTCTCTAGTGATTTGCCTTTCGTTAACTCAAGACAATATGTATCTTAATTCTTGTGGATGTTTGTAAATATTTCTAGTTATGGTATATGAGAACATACTTGCAAAAATTATTCTGAAATTGAATTATCGAACAAGAAACTGCACTGCTGTTTCTGGTCTCGAACAAGAAACTGCGCTGCAGTTTCTGGTCAAAATCTGCACTGCTGCTCAAAAGGTAAAGGCATAATCAAAGTACTAAAACTAATATCAAAACACATTTAAGTAGGTCAGCAGTTGTAACATTCCAATATACTTGCAAAAATTATTCTGAAATTGAATTATCGAACAAGAAACTGCGCTGCAGTTTCTGGTCTCGAACAAGAAACTGCGTTGCAGTTTCTGGTCAAAATCTGCACTGCTGCTCAAAAGGTAAAGGCATAATCAAAGTACTAAAACTAATATCAAAACACATTTAACTCCATGAGCAGTTATAACATTCCCATAGACTAGCAAAAAGTATTCTGAAATTGAATTATGGGACAAGTTCTGTTCAAAATCTGCAACAAATAAACAGAAACTGCAGTGCAGTTTCTGCAACAAAATCTGCTCAAATCTGAAAACAAGCATTCAATGGCAGTCAAAAACGAATATCCACTCATGAAACAATTGTATAATTTTCAATAACTTCAAAAAAGAATCATAATATCCAATTAGAAGCTGTGTAGCCAATTAAAAGCAACTAAAACTGCAATGCAGGTTTTGCAAAAAGTGCAATGCAGAAACTGACTATACATTCACTAAACCATATCTAACGTAAGCAATCGTCAACTGAGAAGGAATGTTCATATCACAGCCTTGCAAGTCTTCCTATTATGCCCAGTAACACTACACCGACTGCATTTCAATGGCCTTTTAAATTCACCAACTCGGATAACTGGGCAGCGAATACCGTAACGTAAAACAACCCAACTGCAAACCCTTAAACCTTAGACACAAAGTCTTCAAAATATCAACCATGGATGACTCTGATGAAACTGAAAACATCATGGTTTCCGACTTATATGTGCACTTGGCAATGACACACACCTCCATTAGCCTTGAAAATGCAAACAAAACAACAAACAAAAACAGAAAACAATTTAAATCAGTAAATAATGTACATGAGCAGTTGTAAAATTCCAATAGACTTCCAAATATTAGTCTGAAATCGAATTATGAAACAAGAAACTGCAATGCAGTTTCTACCAAAACTACAACAAACAGATGTAGTTTATGACAGAAAATCAAAACAATTCGAATAGAAACCAAAAGGAAACCACGATAAAAGTACTAAAACTAAATTCCATAAACATACAAGTCGATATAAACGAAAACAGGTTCTAAAGTACTCATACCTCAAAACTTAGGACTGCCAAAAATCTCCACAACCAAACAGCAGCTTAAAATCAAATCTGATCACGAAACGAAGAATATAGGGTTTAGCATTGAACGCCACAAGATCGCGCCGCAAAATCGAGCCACAAAACTGAGCTCGAAATACCCGAACTAAGGAGAACAGAAATCACCCAAAACTGACAGTCATTCAGCATGCAAATCGAACGAAAACGTAGCAGAAAAAAGAAGACAGAAAAACGAAGAAAATAAAAGCAAAACCTACCAGAAAATTGAGCTCCAATGGCAGAACCCAGCTCTGAAACGAAGAAGAAAACGAACGAAAACGAACGAAGAAGAAACTCGCGCGTCGTTTAAATGTTCAGAGGCAAAAGCGTCATTTAATTTGTAGGTTTACAGATGGGCCAGGCTTTTTAAGAGAAAAGGGTAGAATTGTCTTTTTATTTGTTATTTTTAAGCTGGCCCAACGAATTTGGGCCAGCCTTTGGCCTAATCTAAAATAGCTATTTTTTTTTAAGTATTAAAACCCAAACTAAAATACCTAATATCTCACTTACTAATTAGTAAACTTAATAATGTCTAATACCTAATTTTCCTTAATTTTATTCATTGACAGAGAGTCTTCTTGTTGCCTGATAAAATATAGTAGAGACATCTCTCTCTTTCTCTCACTCTCTCGCCTAAAACCAAGAGCTCAAATTGATAACAAAATTTGACATATAGAACTCAATGTTTTCAAAGGCTGAGGCGTATATGTAAGGCGTTTTTAGTAGCGCTATGTGAGGGGTAAGCCTTTTGAACATTAATTTATTTTAATAAGAAAAAATTATGAATAATACAATACAATTAAATTGTACAACTAATTCTTATTGAACCATAACAATCTTTTAAATATAATCAAATATAAGTACTAATTGTCATTCAAAACATAATAATCAATCCCAAAACATAAAATGTTTATTCAACATCAAAACAAAGACATAATTCACTCATCCCACTCCTCAACACGAATATAAAAATAAAATGACTTATTTGCAGTTGAAGGATGAAGAGAATTCTTGAAATTGATGGAGATTATCTGGTAAGGATATAAATTAGGTCTGTACTATACAATATATATATATATATATATATATAGTACCAATAATTTTGTTCATTGACGGAGAGTCTTCTTGTTGAAAGGGCAAGAAAGATATTAAGTCTCCTTGCCTTAAGTTAAGGTAAGGAAAAAAAAAGAAAAAAGAAAAAAAAAAAACTTGCGTGTTTTCAAACACTCCAAGTGAAACGACATCCTTTCACTTTAAGTTTGTTTTTAAAAATACTGCAATCGAAACGACGTCGTTTCATTATAATAAACCTTCGAAAAAAAAAACACGCGAGTCGTCTTCCTCGCGAAGTCGTCTTCCTCGCAGAGCCAATTTGCAGACTCCCAAAATTTCTTCCGCTTCAGAAGTGTCCAGATCTGCACGCCTTGCTCCGCCTGGCCACGCCTTGAAAGCCCAGCTCTCCTTCTGTTTTTCTCATCAACACGAGCCGAGGCCCAAGTCTAACACGAGCCGTCTTCCAGCCCTCCCCGCGACCTCTCATCTTCTTCAATCCTCATCTCGCCACCCCAAAATCTGAGCCACCATCATCATCTCGCCCCTGACCTTGGAAATTCCAAAATGGCGTTTTCTTTCTGGGTCAGACCAGCCCAGGCCGCCTAGGCGGCCGCCTAGCGCCTAGTCCCCGCCTAGGCCGATTTTTCGAACACTGCCTGATCATCAGACACCTCCGCAGAAAATAATATATTCTTTCATCATCATCTAGTCCCTGACCTTGGACATTCCAAAATGGCGCTTTCTTTCTGGGTCAGACCCTCCCAGGCCGCCTAGGCCGCCTAGCGCCTAGTCCCCGCCTAGGCAGATTTTTCCAACACTGCCCGATCATCAGAAACCTCCGCAGAAAATAGTATATTCTTATAGCTTCCTGATGCTAATTCCTCATAGGAAATCACGCCCGCCCACCCGAAAGCCATTGTTCGTGAATAATTTCTGCATTCATTTCCTCGCACTAGTCTAGGGAAGAAACCATGTGGTGCATTTCTTTCTTGAAAGAGAGAAGCAATTAAAACACTTGAAATAAGCAAACTGACGTTGATCCCAATCTATTTCAGTCAGTTTCTGCATCAGAGGGGTGCAGAGCTTAAAAATATTGTTAGATACCCTGCATTGCATGCATGGCCCTTATACTAGGCCGACTGCCGTTAAACGCAGACCTAAGCACGCAGACTTTGCTGTTTGTGGACTGAACTGCCCCTCCACAACTAAATTGACCAACTTGAAACGACAGGACCAAAGTGTTAAAAGTGGAAAGTGTGAGGGTTTAAGCACACTCTACCATTCGTCTTCCCGAGCCACCACCATCACCTGCGCCTTCACCTCTCTCGCTCTCTCTTGGCTACCGCTGCTTCAGCTAAGCGAGTCGGCACTCATAATGGCAGCTTCCACTGCTACGAAGCCCTCGGCTGCAAGGTCTACAAGTTAGTTAAGTAGCATCCTAGTTCCTTTAGGTTCTGGTTGATAGATTGCTTCGAGTCACTATGATATATTGGTATCTTAATTTAGTGTTTTAAAAAGCTTTCCCCTTTGTGTGTTCAGTACACTACACACAAATGCATGAATTTGCTTTTGTAATTTTTCTGACCCTGTGGTATTTGTGAATTGTGGCACTGTCATGTGTGCTGGGGGTCTTATTCAAACTATTTGGGCTGCCTGTATTAGCCTAGGCACTGGAGCAGATCAAGTTAATCTGTATTAGCAAGCAGATGTGCTTTTAAGTGCTCAATCAATTGTTTTGTTGTGGTTTGTCCTTAGCAAAGAGAAATGTGTGAGGGAGAAGCGAGATATATGAAATCATGCTAAGCCTTCCATTTCTGCACAATATTTTCGTAGAAAACAGTAGGAAATAACTTGCTGCTGTGGGGGCAAAGGCAATGGCTCCCATTCTGCTACGAGAAAGCAATGCTTGAAGCTTCTTCAGTGCCTGCCTGCGCTGCTGTGTTTGCGCCTCACTGGCTCACTTTTGCGTTTGGGTTGGATGGTTTTACATATAAAAACTAGTCCTGCTTTGCACTTGACTTCACTGTAATAGATGGCTTGGATTTGCACACTAATTGTAGTAATAGGAGAGGACTTCAAAACATTTAAGTTCATCATTACTTGCAACTGACCCAATTTAGGTCTAAATAGTACGGTGAATAGTTCTAGTGCATTGTTGAGTAATAAAAGGATTTTATAACATGTTTTGCACTTATATACTGAGTTTCGGTATCAATATCGATCGGTAAAAGTAGTTGAATTGTAAAACACCTGGTGCAATCATATCGAAAACTAAGTAGTTGAATTGTAAAACACCTGGTGCAATCATATCGAAAACTAAGTAGTTGAATTGTAAGTTCCAGAAGTGCAGGGTCCGAAGTGAAAATGTCAATACCCAACGCTTGTTGGCTAGGACTGTTTGCTCTATAGAATCAGTGAATTGCTGAGTAGAAGGAGATGGCATGCACAATCTCTCTGCACCCATCTTCATTCTTAGAGCATTAAGTTCAGGCCTAAAGAGCAGAATCCGGCCGTCTTCTGTCCTGTTCGCCTTAAGACCTTCATATAAGCCCTGATCATGGCACACCATATATTAAGAACATGTCACAGAAAAGCTAGCTAGCTAGAAACACAGCTGGATGCAACAACATACACCAATGCTGCTACTGATACATAAAAATCTAATTATTAGGTTGTGGCTCATTGTGGTTCAAACTAATTAAAACCATAAAGGGGGCTGCTAAGTGCTAATTAACCTGTCCATAGTTCAAGACTCCAGCAGATGGGTGAAATGTCCTTGTGAAAAATCATCTCCTTTGGCTTTGGAACATTTCATGGTGTACATGTAATCAGTTGGAATTACCCCAAATTTGAGGTCATCCTTGTTGACATCAGCATACTCTTCCCCTGCATCATGGCTATAAATTTTCATGGAGAAAGAAAGAATTAATATCCAAGACACAAAATTTAAAAAGGTCCAATAAAAAGTGGTCTAGATTTAACTAACAATTAGTGAATTGCCTTTGGATAGATTTAGAAGTTGTTTGCAAATTAGCAGAAGGCATCGCTCCAAATCTTAGCCTGGAAATCAATGTTGAAATCATCTTGACACTCATCATTCTTGTCACTTAGTAGTTCTAACTTCTAATTATATGTTGTGACCGAGACATGGATATTCATGTTGAGAGTGTTATCTCATATCGGAAATAAAAGTCTTGCCTTAGTAGTTTAAAAGATCTTGGTTCTCTACCCATTGCCAATTGATTTTAGATTGAATATATAATCTTTCATGTGGCAAGTTCTGATTTGTTGAGGCAGATTTTTTTGGGTCAATGGGCAGAGTTTTGCATGTTAATCAAACAAAAACCAGTATCAACTCCCCGTTTTCAAGCAACCATAGAATTGTCCCAAAAAAAGAACTTTGGGAAAAAAAAGGGGCAACAAGAAATCCATTTGTTCTCAATCCACATCGATGTCGAAATAAACTTTCTCTGAACCAGTAATGTTTAATAATGCACAAGATTAGTACTTGTGGATTCAATTATTTGTAAATAAGGGTGGAAATTAAAGTCAATATTATGACAAAAAAGAAAACAAGATTTAGTGCTTGCAGTAACAATTGAGCATCTTTGTGTGCAATAAAATTTGAAATCAAAGAACATCTTTGTGTGCATAGCTAGAGAAGAAGCTTCATTGGCAATGAGATACGGAGATGAAGAAGCTAGCTTGTTCAATCAATGAGCATGGTCCAGCCCATCTTGTCCTCAATCACACCTGTTTGAATCCCTTTAAGCACTACACGCAGTTTGTGGAACACAGTTTCTTCCCCTGTTCTGTATTTGATCCTGCATCAACATAATCCATTTTTAGCAATTAAATTCCAAGGATAAGATAGAAAATGCCCCTGTATTTGTGGCCTGCTTCAAAGTGTTTTTTTTAAGAAATCTTTTCCTCAGCAGTGTTTTTGTTAATTAAAAATTCAAGTACTTTGTCGATATGTTTCATTTGAACCATTTCGATGTACTAAAACACGTTTACTGGAAGTGCTTTTATTAGAAGCATGTCGAAAATCACTCGGAAATGCTTGTTTTTATAACTCAGAAGCACTATCTAAAAACACTCTCAAACAAACTACTTTATTTTCGTCAAAGATAATAAAAAACGCTTTTGACAAAACCAAAAACATTCTCAAACACATGTATCTACCTTTTATCTTGATGTGTTATACTAGCAACAGCAGTGACTTCCACTGCAGTCCCTGTACAGAAAACTTCATCGGCAGCCAACACATCCTCTAGTGGAACATCACGTTCCTCCACCTTAACCAATTTTAAAAAACATGCTTTTAGAGGTTGCTATGATAAATCACAATTATGGAATCGCTTTTCAAGCCAAGCAGTAATATAATGCTTTGGGGAAAACAAGGGGTGGTTACCCAACGCTTGTTGGCAAGGACAGTTTGCTTTAAAGCATCAAGGAATTGGTGAGTAGATGGAGATGGCATGCACAATCTCTCTGCACTCATCTTCATTCTTACAGCATTCTCTTCAGGCCGGAACAGCTGAACACGACCGTCTTTGGTCCTGATCGCTTTAAGACCTTCTAATACTCCCTGATGACACCACTGTATAGGGATAAATACTTTTAACCACTAGAACTACAAGCTTCAATACTTCGAACCTATTATTAAATTGTGACTAGTTAATGTATAACCTGTCCATAATTCAAGATTCCGGAAAATGGGCTGAGCTCAATTTTCCCATAGGGAGCTAGGTGGCCTTGTGAAAAGTTATCCCCATTGGGACATTTCATAATGTACATGTAATCTGTTGGAATTACTCCAAATTCAAGTTCATCCCAGTTCATGGCATCACCATACTTTTCATCTGCTTCATGACTGCACTTAATTTCATCCATAATTAAAGATATGTATCAGAGATAAAATTAACAGAGCTTAACACTGTATATATATAAATCATATAAATCACCTTTGAACAGCAGATTCAGAAATTGCTTGCAAAGCAGGGAAAGGAGGCATGTCTGCAAATTAATGTGGGATAAATTCTTACACAACTGCAACAAAGAAACTGATCACACTTTGTTAGATTGTTAATTTTATTTATCTAATTTTGTCTTCTGAATCAGAACTACAAACTTAAAAGTAGATTCAGGAAAATGAACAAACACTTCTTAACAGAATATGCAGATGAGAGAGAGAGAGAGAGAATGATACTTACGAACTGGAGAGACTACAAACAAAGTGGCGGGGCTTGCGTGCAAACTGCAGCAGGATGCTATCTTTTATATGGAGTAACTGTACACCAACTAGCCTTTGCAATAATTTGATTGGAAAATATCTCATCTCGGCAGAATGCGAGCACGATATATATTTGTGGTAAGTTCGAATTATAACTGGAAAGAATTGATCGGTAAGCAAAGATATTATTATTAAATATCATGACTAAATTCGCTATATTATAAAGGATATCAGTCAACAACTCAATATCTTACGAAAACAATAACTCAGACTGTCAGACACAGCAAACCTATGTTTCCACATAAAAATCAAATAGTTGGGGGGCAAGGCAGGCCGTCAGACTCCGTACACTACTCTTTATCACATTCATATGGTGAAACCAATCAAGTGGCATACATTTTCGCTAAAAAAGGACATGCTTCTGTGGAAAAATTTGGCTTATACAAGCAATAATTTCTTAGTTCCATTGGTCGGTGGAGTTAAAACCACATTACGCTCTAACACATGATAATGTGATTGAGTTTATCATACTCATAATTTGAATTGTACAAAAATGAAATTCTTGTTTGGATGCGTAATTTAAATTGACAATTTAACAACATAACATGTTGAAATGTCCAGGAATTGAACATTTGATATAAGTACTACCTTCTCAATGAAAACATTACATGAAGAAACCTCCTCAACATTTTTCCATTATTATGATTCAAAACCTATAGCAAATTGTAGAAATAGGACATCAGTGTACCCCTTGGCCTTAGCCTCGCTTACTGATTCAAAACCTATAGCAAATTGTAGCAAAAAAATCATTTTGGTAAAATCTTAATGTATATAGTATAGCCGCGCGGCGATACAAAATAGTTTAGCCGTGCGGCTATACTCATATATATCTAATGGGATCCTTTTTTTTCTTTTAAATTTTTTCCCCGATTTTCGTTTATCAATAAGAGTAGTTTAGACCATTATCCATTATTATGATTCGTTTATCGAGTCTCTATTGTCCCATTTTTATTTTTTTACTTTTCCAAAGTTATTACCCGTATAAAGAATTTAGCAATGGCTTGACATCCCCAAATTAATAACCATACAAATTATAAATCTTAGAAGCGAGGACAAAAGCCAATTTTTTAAAATGCACTGCACCTTTTGTGTGATTTCTGAACTTTTAAAAAAAATAGTATATCCACGCGGCTATACTTTTTTTGAAACGTGGGCCCTAAAGCCAAGGCCGGTCCTTTTATGATATATATAAATCGAATACCCGCACGGCTATTTTTTTTTTTTTTTTTTTTTTTTTTTTTTTTTTTTTTTGGTTAAAAAGTATAGCCAATTGAGACGTGGGCTCCTAAAGGCAAGGTGGGTCGTTTTTATTTATTTATATATATAAATAGTATAGCCGTGCGGCGATACTCTTTTTTTTTATAATTTTTTTGATGTAACTGAGAGAGAGGCCCAATTGAAAGCCCATCTCTCCTTCTGTTTTTCTCATCAACACGAGCCGAGGCCCAAGTCTAACACGAGCCGTCTTCCAGCCCTCCTCGCGACCTTTCATCTTCTTCAATCCTCATCTCGCCACCCCAAAATCTGAGCCACCATCATCATCTCGTCCCTGACCTTGGAGATTCCAAAATGGCGTTTTCTTTCTGGGTCAGACCCGCCCAGGCCGCCCAGGCCGCCTAGGCCGCCTAGGCGGCTGCCTAGCTCCCAGTCCCCGCCTAGGCCGATTTTTCGAATACTGCCTGATCATCAGAAACATCCACAGACAATAGTATATTCTTATAGCTTCCTGATGCTAATTCCTTGCCTAAACTCCTTGAAAAACTTCCTCATAGGAAATCATGCCTGCCCACCCGAAAGCCATTGTTCGTGAATAATTTCTGCATTCATTTCCTTGCACTAGTCTAGGGAAGAAAACATGTGGTTTATTTCTTTCTTGACAGAGAAAAGCAATAAAAACACTTGAAATAAGCAAACTGACGTTGATCCCAATCTATTTCAGTCAGTTTCTGCCAGTGCCAACCAAGCGGCAATCCTCTCAAGGAAAAAAACATGCTACGAAGCCCTCGGCTGCAAGGTCTACAAGTGATAGATTGCTTCGAGTCACTATGATATATTGGTATCTTAATTTAGTGTTTTAAAAAGCTTTCCCCTTTGTGTGTTCTGTACACTACACACAAATGCATGAATTTGCATTTGTAATTTTTCTGACCCTGTGGTATTTGTGAATTGTGGCACTGTTATGTGTGCTGGGGGTCTTATTCAGACTATTTGGGCTGCCTGTATTAGCAAAGGAGATGTGCTTTGAAGTGCTCAGTCAATTGTTTTGTTGTGGTTTGTCCTTAGCAAAGAGAAATGTGTGAGGGAGAAGCGAGATATATGAGATCATGCTAAGCCTTCCATTTCTGCACAATATTTTCGTAGAAAACAGTAGGAAATAACTTGCTGCTGTGGGGGCAAAGGCAATGGCTCACAATCTGCTACGAGAGGGCAATGCGTGAAGCTTCTTCAGTGCCTGCCTGCTGCTGTGTTTGCGCCTTATGGTTTTACATATAAAAACTAGTCCTGCTTTGCACTTGGCGTCTTGGCCCAATTTCCCTCCTACCTGTCTAATTTAATTCAACTTCAGTTCTTGAGATGCACTAATCTCAACCGTTCAATCAATATCCCCACTTGACTTCACTTTAATGGATGGCTTGGATTTGCACACAAATTGTAGTAATAGCAGAGGACTTCAAAACATTTAATTTCATCATTACATGCACGGTGAGTAGTTCTAGTGCATTGTTGAGTAATAAAAGGCAGGTATACGAGTTTTTGTAGGTTCATAAATAAAATGGATTTATAACATGTTTTGCACTTATATACTGAGTTTCGGTATCAATATCGATTGATAAAAGTAGTTGAATTGTAAAACACCTGGTGCAATCATATCGAAAACTAAGTAGTTGAATTGTAAATTCCAGAAGTGTAGGGTCCGAAGTGAAAATGTCAATACCCAACGCTTGTTGACTAGGACTGTTTGCTCTATAGAATCAGTGAATTGCTGAGTAGAAGGAGATGGCATGCACAATCTCTCTGCACCCGTCTTCATTCTTAGAGCATTAAGTTCAGGACTACAGAGCAGAAACCGGCCGTCTTCTGTCCTGTTTGCCTTAAGACCTTCATATAAGCTAGCTAGAAACACAGCTGGATGCAGCAACATACACCAATGCTGCTACTAATACATAAAAATCTAATTATTAGGTTGTGGTTCAAACTAATTAAAACCATAAAGGGGGCTGCTAAGTGCTAATTAACCTGTCCATAGTTCAAGACTCCAGCAGATGGGTTGAGCTCAACGTTTCCGTAGGGAGTGAAATGTCATGTCCTTTGGCTTTGGAACATTTCATGGTGTACATGTAATCAGTTGGAATTACCCCAAATTTGAGGTCATCCCAGTTGACATCAGCATACTCTTCCCCTGCATCATTCTTGTCATGGATTCTATTCGAGCAATATTGGTGTTTGCATTCAGTCACTTAGTAGTTCTAACTTCTAATTATATGTAGTCTTAAGGCCTGTTACCTTTAAGTTCTTCGAATAAGCCATGATCACGGCACCACCACAAAGTTGGATACACAAAAAATAAGAAATGTGACAGAACAAGCTATACTTAATTATTAAATTGTTGCTGCTTAGTTCTAATTAACCTGTCCATAATTCAAAACTCCAGCAGATGGGCTGAGCTCAATGTTTCCAGAGGGAGTTAGATGGCCTTGTGAAAACTCATCTCCTTTGGAACACTTCATGCTGTACATGTAATCAGTTGGAACTACTCCAAATTCAAGTTCATCCCAGTTCACATCAGCATACTTTTCATGATCTGCATCATGACTGCACATTTTCATAGAGAAAGAAAGAATTAATATCTAACAAATAAGAGATAATTAACACTAAGAACCAGTTATCTACCTTCGGATAGAATCAGAAGTTGTTTGCAAACCAGGAGAAGGCATAGCTGCAAACTTGAGTCTGAAAATCAATGCAGAACAACGTCTGAAACTAGACAAATGATGTTTGTAT